GTTGATTCAAAACTTCTGCTGTTGAAATCTTAAATACAACTGGGTAGATTACTTGTTCCTTTTATAATCATTAAACTCCTGTGTTTAGATTTTAGTGACCTATATGTTTAAGCTACTTCCTGAACCACTGATTTATTTAAAATCACATACTCTAACTCAACTCTTCACGTCTTTCAAACAAAACCTACTGAGAGTTCCAAGGACATGGTTTAAAATTTCAGGCCATCACTCTTTTCCAGGCTGTTAAATCTATGTCCTCCTAAGAGTCTGGATTAATTTAAAAGCAGTTATAGATTATTTATTTTGTTCGAACATGATTATCATTATAATTCTGAATTTATTTCATTCATTTTTATCCTTTCAATAAAAATCTTTTATTTCTCGGTATAGTAAGTTGTACTTACTTCTTGCTTACTTGGCAATATTCTTTTCACATTCATTTTGTCAATGTATTTGAAAAAAATGTCTCTTATCTATATGGACATAAGAGAAGGAGTTTGCTGTAAAACCTAACTTTCTAATAATCTTTTTTTTTTTCTTTAAATCAAAAGGTTTGTAAATAAGTGTCTTTTCCAAAACTGAAAATGGAAAAAGGGACCACTTTAGAGAATTGCCCCAGCCCTTAAAAGGTTTCATCAAAACTCTTTTATGGCTGCTCAGCTCTTGCTGATGAAGCTGTCCAGCTCAGCCCCCCTCAGGGTCAGTGACTCAAGCCCCATTTCCAGCTCCCGGTGCAGATTTACGCAATGCGGACACTCCATTTGGCCGTGTGCCACATCCAGATCATTTAAATTAAATTTAGTGGAGACTTATTCTTTAGTGTAATTAGGTTTTTTGTTTTCTCTTTATGGCTTAAAGATGAAAAGGTACTGAATTTGTCAGCTGTTGTAATTTTACAGGCCTGACACAAACAAGGCAATTACATCAAGAATGATTTATTGTGGTTGGAGCTATTTTATTGCTTTAAATGATTTCATTTTACCACATAACCACCCGGCTTTCAATAAAGAAATAACACTTTACAAACCGCTGTGCTAATGCATACTGGCCGCTACAGCAACATAGAAAAATAGGGACATTTCAACGTCAATGTTGAACCCCTGCTTTTGTGTGTGTGCAGCTACTGTATAGGGGTAGGATGTGGTTCCCCTTGGGAACATTTATTTGGTTTCCCTTTAACTACTTAAGACAGAGGGAAGAGGTCAGTAGGATGAGAGGGGGTAGCAGTAGAGCCAGACAAAGACAGACTATGTGAGATGATGGACAAATGGCAGAGGCTTAATTGAATGAAAGCTTCTCCAGGTCTCAGATGCCATAAACTAGGAGGACATTTAAACTAAGGTCCACTGCTTATTGAATCCCTCCTGGGCGCCCACTAACCTCCCTCACTCTCTTCTTTTCTATCCGGCTCACTGCTGCCTCATACCCCTCCTTCAATTTAACCAAAGCTGAACCCCTGGCTTTCACTGTAATCAATCTACACCTAAACTGATTAGCGGTGTTTGGATAGAGCTGCATGCACGAGGGACGGTAATTTCAGGGCAGCTTGACTCCCTCCTCTCTTTGCTGGCTTTCCGCTGCAAGCACACACAGCATATTCCTGATGAAGCATCCTGCTGTTTAAACTCTGGCTGATCTGTCTCACTGAGAGCCCTAAATCAACCTTATGGGCCATTTTAGAAATTGCTGCCATTAGGAACTGCATGCATACACATTTTCCCCCTCTTTTGAGCTCTAAAGAAGAAGATTGCATGCACTGAATGCACATCTTCTGTTGATCATGCTGCTTGAAAATGACATTATATGGATAAACATTGCAATTCTTTGTGACAACTCTTTTTTTTGTTGTTGTAAAATTAAACATCAGATAATAGAGGTTTGGGGCAACTACTGGCTTACGGCTGTGCATACATGGTGCACATCGAGCAACTGTTATTTTTTTCCACATTTGTCAAGCCTTGATGTATTTTCTTGAAATTCTTGTTAACAAACAAACATACGGCAGATGTGTGTACCCAAAGACCGCCCTCAGGAGTAGCACTATTTCCTTACTTAAGAAAAAGTAAAAGTAGCCATCCTACAAATTACTCAAATAAAACGTATTTTGTTAAAAACATCACTCAAGTTCTAAGTAATTGTTGGATTAGGTTTTAAAATAATGCAATTAGACATGTTCAAGTTCTGGTATTTGGTAAGTTCTGGTGTTAAATTGCAAAGGTTTTTTTGTGTGCAGTAATTAGGCATCTGGCAGGTGGTCTACAAAGATTGCTGCACAAATGTTTAGCTTTGCAAATTGTTTTAGTTCCGTCCATCATTATGAGCAGGATGTGTGTCCTTCACGCAGCAGAGAGTCATTATAAAGAAAGGTAAGGTTCTAAATCCTGTAGCTGGAGGTAATAGTGATTTCTAAAAATAATATTTATAATACTAAAGATATTTATAGAGCACTTTACAAAGGTGGCCTATTTCGAAAGTGCTACAAAAAAGTAAAAAATGAATAGTTACCGGTAATTAAGGGAGGAGTAAGCGATGCGCTGTTAACCCCTCCCACCCCTAGGTTTCTTTGCAGTGCTTTTCAATATTATATTTTTTTTTTTGACATGAAACAATTTTTTACTCCAGTCATTTATTTGCTCGAAGGCAAACATGCAAAAAAAAAAGAAAAAATTGCTGAAACTGAAATTCAAATGCAAATCCCTTAGCACAATCTTCAGAGATTTGTTATGCTTGCAGAAACTCTTTTGCACCTTTTCTTTTTAAGAAACACAAACCTTCATAAGGTCACAAATACAAAAAAAAATGTCTTTATTATAAAGAACAAACTCATGCAGAAGTAATTTCTGGGAATCCATTTTTTTCTTATAAAATCAATCCTTACAGTAAGAGTTGTATATGTTTTAGTAGGACAGGGTAAAAAAATCACACTAACAATATATACTGTTAACTGTATATTCACCTGATCTCAGTATAGCTTGTTATTTAAAGCTGAAAGAGCATCCAGAAATTTTACTCTAGAAGGAGGTGTGACACTTCACAAGAGTATTACTATAGTAAAAATAGGAAGTACAGTGAAACTACTCCTAAATGTATATTTTCAAAATGTTACTCGGCTAAATTGAACTGAGTAAATGCTACTAGTCACTACCCACCTGACACAAAGCAGTGCATGATTACAAACATATTTTCTATTCTTTCCTAATATCTCCTAGATAGATTTGTAATGTAATGTAAAAATAGTGCAATTCAGTATCAGTGTGAAAGTTTTTGTTTGTTTCTTTTTCTGAAAATTATTAAACAACCATCATTTTTCATATATCCCTGAAAACACAATCCCATAGCAAGAAAAACATGAAAAAGACATTATATTGAGCCATGGTGATGGCAACATCATGCTGTGGTAAAGCTTTTCTCCAGTGCGGGCAAGAAGCCAATCAGAATTAATGAGAAGACAGAGGGTAGTAAATACAGAGCAATGGAGAATAAAAAACAAGCAGACAATCACTGTAGATGAATTTTTAAATAGTGCTTTATAAAAAGTAGGTTTAGAATGCTACCAACATACACATTAATTACAAAAGAACTTATGCCCAATTTATTTTCCCAAATATGTTATCCCTGTACAATTAATGCAAATTGTAAAACAAACCCAGAGCGGTGTTAATATTGACCTATGCTTGTATGGAAACAGGGGAATAATCGTTCTCCCAAGAACAGTTGATTAAGTCTTTTATCAACATGTAGGTAATACTTGTAGTTTAACTTTTGAAAACAGAACAGCCCTAGAAAAGTATCAAATGGATAAAAACACAAACAACAACCTATACTTTTGAAAGATAAATCTAGCAGATGATTCAGAGCATAAGGAGGAAGAAAATCATTCAGAGAGATATAAAAAAAATAATCAGACCTTAACCCTTGATGCAAATTATTGCAAATATGCAACAAAACATTTGTATTGTGTACACAGCCAAGATGGCATTTGAGTCCCTTAGTAACAGTTATTATTATTATTATTAATATTATTGTCTTCCAGCTTGCTTGATTCCTCCTAAATACATTGAGCAGCAAATTAACTTTCAACCCCAATGGTGTAGCATTTGTTTGCAATAGTGGTACAGTAACACCAATAAGTAGTAATGTGCCTTTGCGTCTAAATTTTTTCTCCAATGTCCAGGATTGATGATAAAACTTCTCAGATACCAAAAAAGTGAAGTTTGCATTGAAACTTGAAGCCATTTCTCTTGACATCTGAAAGGCCTCCCAATGAAAAAATAGTCAGGTAAGCAGTTTTTAGTTTGAGATTATGTTGCTGCGATAAAAGATGAGTTTAACAGAAGAGGTTTCTGCAGAATTAACCAAAGAAAAACAGCTTTTTCCTTATTTTTATTTCTAATTGCATAAAAAAAAAGAAACCTTAAAAAGTCTTCACCTTAGCGGACCTTCCTGCTAACAGTGAGGATTCTTTCCGATTAGAACACAGACTGGTTCCTCTGAAGTTAACGACTGATTTAGCTTCTGTTTCATTTGAGCTCCGCATATTGATTTAAAGAAGACCAGGTTTCATTTGAAACGGTGAAGTCATGCATTAAAGACTGAGGTAATGCATCTAAATCAAATATTGACACATGTATCCAGGTATTTAAAGAGCATTTCTCATCTTTCATACTTTATCATTCAACAGAAGATTTAGGTGTCAAACAAATGTCTGTGCCGCTTTGCAAAGAATACAAACGCTGCAGCTGAGAATGTTTTAAATGATCCCTGATCGAATTAATGGAGATCATTTTCATGTAACCCTTCGGTAATGATAATATCGAAAGCTTAAGTAATAAAGGAATGAGAGAAATCTGCCTCTTGTCAGCGTTTACAATGAGAAGCACTTGGGCGATTGGATGTCCTGCGATCAATGTAGCCTCTTCTCTTATCATTAAGACTGCTTTTAACAGATTACAGCCCCCCTCCAAAACACGCAGTCTCTTTCTCCTCCCCTCTCCCTGTGCTCCTCCCTTTGGATCACGCAGTCTTTTACAGTAGATACAACTGGAGTCTTGCTTTCCTGGCTGTTGTTTCAAAAATACTTTTTATCTGTTAATTTCAACCTTTACAGAAGTTTTTCTATTAATTATCTTGTGGAGTTCAAGTGGATTTAATCTGGGTTTCTTTACACTAACCAGACAGATGAATGGAAATGAAAGTTCTTGAAGTATTCTAAAGACAGTAAATGAAGATGGACCTGGTGATCATTACTTTTCTTCTTCTGTTCATTTGTCTTCATCCATCCTCAGCAGCAAGTCTGATCACAGGTAAACTAATCTCTTAAATACTGTATACAAAACAGCACAGAGTCAAAAACATTTGAATTCATTTGATAATCAGTTTTTTTTTCTTATGTTTTGGCTTCTGAACTCTAAACTGAACTTTTATTACTAAAGCAGACATATTTGAAGCGAGGGGTATGTAGACAACATTTTCTAAATGTATCTTAGTATGTTTAGCTGATGACAGAAATACACTGAGATCACCTTTTTCTTTATCTTTCCAGGCCAGCGAGTGTGCAAGGCAGGAAATGGGAAACCGTGTTACAAGCTGGCCTATTTCTCTGAGCTGCGCTGGAAGCTGAACTTTCAAGAAGCAGAGAGCGCTTGCAAGCGAGATGGAGGCCAGCTGCTGAGCATCGAGTCTGCGTCTGAGCAGAAGGTCATAGAGCAGCTCATCAGCGATCTCCGACCCATGGATGGAGACTTCTGGATAGGGCTTCGGCGTGGACAGGGGCACCAGGACAGCAGCTCGGAGTGCTCGTCTCAGTACTACTGGCTAGACGGAAGCAAATCCACATTTAGGTAGGAAAGGAGGGTTTTTACAATTCAATTCCTGTTATTTCATTAGCTCTGAACAGTCATACATTCTTCTTCACTTATTTCAGTTTTTTGTTTAATGCAGAAATGATTCTAGCATATGAAGTTGTCTTGACAAACAGAGCAGATGTCCCAAATAAAAGATCCTTAGATCTCCAACAATCAATTGTCTTTCTCTAATCTAAATTTCCTTAAAATCTTGAATTCCCTTACACCCTCCGGTTTGTCCTGGATCGCAATGCATTTGGAAAATAGAGAGGTAAAGAAGCTTTCCTTCACAACATGCCAAAAAAAACATCTAAACGAAAAACAGACACCAATATGTTACTGCAGCAACTCTACTCCAAGATGTCCCCAGATGACAAAGCTCCTCTTTAGTCTATTAATCTCATGAACAGGTTAAGATTAGCATGCAGAGAGATTAGTAAATTGAGAGCTTTGCATTTTCGCTCAGTTCTTTCTTTAATATACTGGGCATTTATTACAGCAGACCAGCTCCAGTCTGTGAATCATAAACTAAGGTGCTTGAACTCCTTTGATTGAAACAAAGACAAACACCTCACCTGGATGGAGCAAATCCCTGGCTTCAAACTCAGAGCCGCTGAATATCATCTTACTCGCTTAACAGTCAGCTGTGATTGACTTCCATACCTGCGAAAAGTAACTCCTTAAGGAAATCCATGGAACCATCATCAAAAAGCAAAGATGAAAATCTGCAGTTTTTAATCCAAACAACTTATTTTTTTGTGAAAACTTCTTTGGACCATGAAGACAACCAAACTCCTCAGGTTATCTGCAGTGCAATGATCTGGTCTGCTGCAGCTGAATCCAGACATTTCCATCATTTAGGACTTATCATTGAAAAACCACGAGGACACTCTTCCAGGGAGGAAGAATAGGATATTTCCTTGATAGCTGGAACGCACTCTTTTATCCTTTTCCTAAAAGATTGCTGGCTGAGACTCTGAGTGAGTCTGCCCCGTCTGACAGTCTGCTGCTGCAATTTCTTATCTGAATGACATGAACTCCTTAAAAACCTTTAAATACAAATCCCCCACTCTCCAAGCTGGGGAACAATACAGATGGCTAACCATCTTTGTGTGAAACACCCACTCAGTAGCTGTAGAATTCGGTACAAATCAAACACTAATGCAGTCAAACACAATAGCAACCATTAATCAGCATGACAATACCTGCACTGCTGCCAACAGTGAGTTCAATTTGGCAACAAAAACAGAAATTTGCAAGAGACGGGTTATGAAAATGGTTTGTTTATGTTTTCTAATCATTCTTGTTTTTTCTTTATTGAGAAATTGTGGCTTTTATAGCAGTTATTGTTTCCTGGACAGGATTTAAGCTGTATTAACAAACAGAAACCCTTTGTCTAAATGAATTAATCCAAGCTGAAAGCATGAAGACTTAATTAACAGTAGAACTATTCTAACTGACTTCTACTATTCTTTAAAAAAAATTAAGTGTACAGGATACATGGATGATACTGGAACAGAGAGATACAGAGTAGAAGGCTGGTGGTTAGGGCACAGAGCTTGGAATCCTGAGGTTCTGAGTTTGAGCCCCACAGATTGCAACTCTGGGTGCCTGAGCAAAGACTCTTAACCCCACACTGCTCCCTGGGCGCCGCATAATGGTAGCCCACTGCTCCCCAAGGGAATGGGTTAAATGCAGAAAGGTCATTTTGTTGCTCTGGACTTTTGACAGTGTAATGACAATAAAAAAGCTGGGGAAAAATAAAAATTTTCTCAACTAAAATGAGTTTCTGCTGCACACCCTATTAGGATCTGGCATTGTAGTTTAGCAAACTATACCTATTACAAGTAGTGGACAATGTACCCAGTTTCTTGAGTCAAGACTTGAGACAGATTACAGGTCCTACACTGATAAAAGTACTTTGTCAAGTTATTACTTGAGTACTAGAGGATGTCATATTGGACAGATCAGTAACCTACACATGTAGTCTTATATGGCGCTTTTCTAGACACTCAAAGATGCTTTACAATTTGAGGCATTTTTTATTAACTCCTCTGAGTTGTATTTGCAACAGTGGTCCCCAAATCCCTTACATCCTAACATGGGCATGTTGGGTAAGGCATCTTGCCCAGGGTTGCTGGTGAAGAATCTCAGTCATCCAGGTCATAGTAATTCCAAAAAAGTTTAAAAAGTTAAAAAGCAAACCACTGGAAATTTGTTTTCCAATTTTGAAGATCTTTTTCCTTGTTATGGCTTAGAAAACTTGTAAATTATTTTGGATTTTGAATTTGCAGACTTTCCAACCCATAATAAGGCCTTGTTGGGCTATTCTATAATGCTTGGAAGTCAATGCTAATCCAGAGACTTTGGATTGAAAAAGCTTCCTGGATGGGAAGCTTTCCCAGGGTTGCAACGACGATATGTGTTCAGGCTGGGATTAGATCTAGTAACATTCTGGTTAAATGTACCCATCATTAACAGTAGCAAAAATGCAGCATAGTATATATGTTGTTTCTAAAAACCCTTACACCAAGTCTATAGTGTGCTCAGAATTGTGGAATAAGTCTTAACACAGCGCAAAAAGGTACAAAAAAAGGGGAAAATTATTATTATTATTTTTTTTCAAACAGTGTCCTGTCTGGCGATGTGGCGATAAGAATAATTGTCTTGATGCCAAAAAGAGCCCAACAGATTTTACTTTCACAAGTGGAGCAGTAGGGCTATTGCCATAGTTTTCCGCTTGTTTTATGCATATAAATTGCTTTATTATAATTATGCAGGGAGTTTTAAAGATTATATGGACATTGCAATGTAGGTAGAACAGGAAAGGAAAAACAGAAAAAAAGGAGAAAAGATGAAACAAAGCGGAGATAAATGGGAGATAATGATAATACATTTTCAGTCTGCTTCATCACCTGGAAAGAGACGTAAAAAGAACAGCACAACCAACGGACATGGTACGAGGCATACAATAAAGTAACACCTAGATACTATCACTGAAGAATAAGTAGTATTATTTAATCTGACATATACTTTGTGTTAAGAATATGGGCTTTCTCTATGGAAGTTAATTTCTAAGTACCTGGAACCAAGCACCTGTAGCTGTTCAAGGATAAAAAAGGGATCATTCTTGTCCTCACAACCATATGACCGCCTATCATAAGGGATCAAAGTGTATGATTTCACAGTATGTAGGTAAGACAAAATATAAACAAAAGATAGCAAAAGCATATTTTAGAAGTCATTTTTTATAGTAAAAGGTATGACTATAATGTTCAAATATAGTAGAGTGAATGTAAAAAATATTTCAAAAGAATATTTAAATACAAATCCCTAAAAACAGTACCTAATTATGCTACTCTATTACATTTACTTCATCCGTCCTAAAATATACCTTTTACCAGTCAGGTGGATTATGAAAAAAAAACAATTAAAACAGATTATATGAGTAATGACAACTTTAAAGAAATTCTTGAAAATCTCTGTCTTTGTCCCTATACAGTTATGCCAAATTTTGTGTTTACCTTTCACAAGAACATGTTTAAAGCATGCTGCAAAGTCTCAGAATTTGATGTGACAGAATGAAGAACGGTCCAAACTATATAAATGTTGGCTTAGGACATTAAATGTGCTCAATCTGTGTGTTTCAGGAACTGGCACATTGATGAGCCGTCCTGCGGCTACGAAGTGTGTGTGGTGATGTACCACCAACCATCGGCTCCTGCCGGTCACGGTGGGCTCTACATGTTCCAATGGAATGATGACAACTGTGAAACCAAAAATAATTTTATCTGCAAATACACAGCAGGTGCAGCTGGAACCACACTCTCTGCTGTTTTACGTTGAACATTTCTTAATGTATGTTTTTCTATATTCTTCCCCAGAAAAGCCAATTGAATCCACAGTTTCCCCCAACTCGAGTCAGAAAGGTAGATCACACCACAGCACAATGTTATTGAACATTTATACTACTTTAAGGATTGCATGTAGAATCAAAGCTTGAGCCATCGTTACATTGCAGATGCCTTCCTTCCATCCGCTCTGCCATGGGATCCAAGGGACAACAACCAAGATAGAAGGACAGGTCAAACAAAGTCTGCATTTAGTGCCAAATATTCTACATTAATCATAATGTTTATCTCTGAAAATCTTTCTCCTTCTCATAGCTGTGAATTTAGTCTACGTCATCATTCCCACCATCCCACTCATTGTGCTGCTGCTAACAGTGATGGGAGTTTGCTGCTTCAAAGTGCTGCTCAGACGGTGAGGAAATAAACATTTAAAAAAGAAACAATACAGCCTACTGAAAATAAATTGAAGCCTCCTTATCATCGTATTTGTACAAGATAACAAACCTGTTTATGTGGCAATTCTAAAGTCAGTTGCTAAAGAGGCAATATTTCCTGGCTTTAAATTTCCAACAGATTTTAAAAGCCACTTACATTTATTATACAGAGATGTTAAAATGCTCCATAGCTCAACCTTTTCCTGCAGCATTTCTCAAGTAACGCCAAAAAGATAATTTCATATTTGACATTTATTCTCGAATTAAAATCATTTTGTTGTTTTTTGTAAGGCCATGAATTGTGCTGAGCATTGTTTGAAAGTCTGTTTAATTAAGCTGGGATGCTGTATAGTTATTATGTATGTATATTTTAGGACAAAAAAATCATCCAAAATTATAGAAGCAGAGGAATTTTGATTAGAGAGAGAGGTAAATGTTGGATAGATTGAGGAAACAAGAGTGGATTTGAGCTCTCTTAAAACACCAAATTTTCTATACAGCTTTACTAAAAGGGAGTTTGGAGAAAAGTTGTTGGTGTAGGCTGACATAATGAGGAGCTAAGATGTCCGAAGAAAACAGGAAGCTAATGATTTTACAGCAAAGTTGCTGTTTTATCTCTTTAAAAACAAAACATCCTATGTAATTGGACATGGGGGGTTAGACATTGGTGGTGGTCTTTAGACTAAGGATTTACTTATCCTGCATGGAATACACACAAACTATAATATTAAAAACAACAGTAACTTTAACAAAGCCTAAATGCAAAATGCCAATGCAAAATGGAAAACTGTTAAAAATATCAACATTAATATTTCACTAGGCTGTAGTAAATAGAAAGTGGTGCAAGCAAGCAAGTGTAGAGGGATGGACCGAGGTTTTAATAAGTGAGTTGTAATAAGTCAATGTGTTGCTACTTTATCATGTGAGATTTTCTCATATGATGCCATGCTGACTCTGGTTCTAATGTTGATTGTCTGATCAATACACTTCAGCCAAACTGCCAACTGGCGGTGGCCAGAGGACCCGTAAGCCTTGTTGCTGTCAGTGTGCCCCAGGGCAGCTGTGGCTACAATATAGCTTACCCCAATCAGTGTGTGAGTGTGTCTGTAAATGGGTGAATGACAGATTGTAGTTTGAAGCACTTTGGAGTCCCCTAACTTGAAATAATGCTATATAAGTAAGTGCAGTCCATCAATCACCTAATCTTCCCAAGCATTCATGTAGAAAATGCTGTTGGTTTTTATACTTAAAGGTGTAGTGGAGTCTTTTCGCGATACGTTGACCTGCCCTTTCTCCTAAAAAAAAAAAAAAAAAAAAAAAAAAAAAAAAAATGCACATGCCCAAACCTGTACCCGCTCCAGAGCAGAAACGCCTATTAAAGTGTGCAAGAGCTTGCACGAGCCCATTTCTCCTCGTTTTACTAGCAGTTATGTGAAATGGATTTCTCCAAAAGCATGCAAAACTTGTTGAGCAGAAACTTTGCAACCGAGGCATCAGTGGGAATGCTTTAAGTGTACGCCATCGCGTAAAAGAATCTCCCAAAAACAGGGTCTTCCTTCTGTTGTCCTTCTAAGGCCTTTCTTTTCTTCTCAAACACTTCATAGAAAATTTTTCTCTTAGGACACTCTCTCATTTTCAAACATCCACGTTGAGAAAGGCTTGCTTCAAACGACTGTCTGAAACCGTAGCTCACCACACATATGTGGCTGAAAGTGCGCATGTGCCGAAAAAAATTGCTAATGGGGACGAGCATGTATGATGACCTTACATAAGCGTATCACCAGTACTCGAGTTGAGGGGGATGAGGGGGGATGGCATCCCCCTTCCTAAAAAAAAATCATCCCCCTTCTTAAATGACCATCCCCTCATACCATGCCATGTGACATTTTATTATTAAATGTGTAAAATGTCTACTATATGTATTAACAGTAATGGCATTAATATTGCCCTTTAAACATTTAGCAAGCTGATCTCATTGTGAAATTAGTCCCTAACTATGAAGGGGTAGTGATAGCCATGCCAGTCCAGGGACTGACTGCAGTTCTACTGTACAGTAAGGTGTCTTGGTCAAGGTCAATGACCGGCGTACCTGACATGTAACAACCAAACCATATGCATGCATATTCTTTTACGTTAATAGACTATATTAATTAGGCTATGTATGCTTCTAAGAAAAAAAAAATCTCACCAAGCCCCTTCTTTTTTTTTTATAACTAGACAGCTGCATATCAACAGAATGATTCAAAATTAGGAAGAAACCACTTATTTTGATGATCCACCCGGAAAAAGAACATCCTCCATTATACCTTTAAATACGAAAAAAAAAAAAAAAAAAGAAGCAATTTATGGTATTGAGAAAAAACACAAAAACTGTTAGTGAGCACTATCACTGGCTTTAACTTGACTTTTTTGTTTTAGGGTTTGGGGGCGTTATTCATTGCCATCTGTCACATAACTTAAGGATTTTACTGTATTCACTAATAATATAATGAAACATTTTTTTGTTTTTTTCTGTTTTTTTTCTCTTTCTTCTTTCTTTTTAAGGTCTTTTAGAGCCAAAAGTGGCTAATATCTGTAATTGACCGTTTCTGATTTTAAAACACATTCAAACATCCTATAAATTCACATCACAAAGGGTTTAACTCGCTTTATAAGAAAAAATGTTGTGTCTGCTTTTGTACATTAATGCTTTGGATGTTTGATTATATATGTGTGTGAAACAGAAGGAAAAACAAGCAGAAGTCAGAAGTTTGCCAAACAGATCCCAGTCCAACTTCTACAGATGTCTACAACGTTATCCGCTCCCAGAAGGAAGACGACCTTGTTTCCGCTCGCCCCCAAACAAAGAACACCTCCTTTTTGTGCTCTTCTCCGGACACGCCAACTGGAGATTACGACAACCTGGGAGGCCGGGACACAGAGAGTGGCTTCGTGACACTTGCCAGCACAGAGAGCGACTTCCTGAACTTTGACCTGAACGATCTCAGCCTGGGGCGCCGGGGCACACGGGACTTCTATGATAGCAGTTTGGGACGCTCTGCAAAGAGGGACCTTAACGATGGCAGTCTGGGTCGAACCAGAAACAGAGAGTATTATGACAGAAGCCTGGGCCGCCGCACCACTAAGAGCGAGCATTACAGTGGCAGCCTGTATGGAGATCAAGGTCTGTACGACAGCAGCAACAGAGCAGGCAGTGACCTGTATGAACCCAGGCTGAAATCAGGAGGTCAGACAGGGAAGGTCGACTTCTATCAGACTTATGTTAGTAGCGGCAGACATGAGACCTTCCAAACCAGTCTCGGAACCTACGCTAACCGAAAGTCCTTCCACACAAATCTAGACTGCTACAGAAACGGCCTGAATCTTGACAGCGGAGGGAGATACTTCAATGAGCAGAACTGGATAAACAGAGAGAAATACTGAGCCCTCACTGTGCTCGCACCACTGTATGAACCACTACACGGGGATGAGAGGATGGATAAAAACTATGCATGTGTGTGTCTACTATTGAAACATTGTCAAAATACACTTTGTTTCTGCATCAAGACTTGCTTTATTAATGGATGTTGAATTAACCATAGTAATTCAAATCAAACACAAATAGTATTAGCTGCCTACACTCTGTTTCTTAATGTATCTTGTCTCATAAGAAACTTCTGATGAGCCCTAGTTTTGTAAAGTGGGTTTGTATAAAGATGATGTGTAATTTAGTTTAATATCTTGTCTATGGCTATTGTCCTGTGAAAAACTATTTCCCCCCTTGAAGGTTTCTTCCATTATCTAATTTCTAAATAATTCAGTTGTATTTATTTATATAGCGCCAATTAACAAAGCATGTCATCTAATTTGCACTTTACAGAGACAATTCAACCAAATCATACAGTCTGACTGGTTTTCTAAGGAAAACCAGCTGATTGCATTGACTCTTCAGCAATCCCTCACACTAAGCATGCATGTAACAACAGTGGAGAGGAAAAACTCTGTTAGACAAAGGTAACCTATTTCAGAAAAATAAATCATTCTCTACAAGGGTGTGTTATTAAACTAAACCAGCCAGGCCCTATTTTAGAAAACTCAACACCCACTTGTAAACTCACAAATTAACTTTGGTTAAACAACATAGATTCTAGATGACAAAGTTTAAAATCCTCTTGGCCTGATAACTGCCAGACATGTAGAAACAAGAAATGATTGAACCAGAACTTGTTTAAAACAAAAAAAGTTGACAGAAAGATAATTTAATAATCTAGACAGGGTTTATTAGCAGGGAATACCAGCAAAAAACTATTAACTGGAGAAAGTATGATGCAGTGGTAAAACTTTGCAGGAAAGACCCAAATCTTCCTAGAATGACTCCAAGATTGCATCAGCAATTCCTTCAGGGGGGTCACAAAAGAAACCAGAACATTTAGAGTTGTAATCAAAACAAAACACACAGGATAGTCTTATGTTTGCCAACGCAGCTTCATGGTCCCCATGACCTTTTGGATATTTAGTACTTAAAACTTAATTTTACAAACAATATATATCTGCCCATGCATACAAGCATTTAATAATATTGAAAAAATATATGTATGAAGCAAAAGGGGGAAAAAAAGGTTACCTGAATTAGTTTTGATTTTCCAAAGTGTTTTCCAACTTATGATGCACTACTGTACGTTTGATTTAATTTATTTACAAAAAAAAATAGAAAATACTTTTAAAGGCAGCTGATGCTATTAAAAAGTGGATTTGATCAAGTACAGCAATTTAAAAATATGAGACGTTTGAGTAACAGCTTGCTTGCCTGAATCTGTCATGCAGCCCTTAATCTATCACATAAACATTGATGTCATGTACGATGTACGATGTCACAAAATTGTCCTGTGACCTGCAGAGTCAGTTCAAACAGGTAACTAGAATAAGGATCCTGCTCAGAGTTCAGAGGAAATGGCTGCAGCCTCACCATACGAAGTAGCATGAAGTTGAACGGAATGAGAAAATGCATCTTTTTCATTAAAATTTAGAATCTGTATTCTTTAGACACCTCTCGTGTGAGGGTGAGCTTTCTATGTTTGCTACTTGAATAAAATCTTTAAATAAACTGAGATTATAAATAAACTGCTTGGGTAAGCTCCAAGTGTTTTTTAGTTTTACCAAAAAAAGACAGAGATGCACTCACAATCAATCATGGATTTATTTACATTATTCACAAGATAAATTAACAGAGGGTTCCTACATACTTCTCATTTCAATATTCAATACTTGTCCAGGCGCACATCTCCAGATTCTTCTGTAAAAAGGTTTGGCCAAGATAAAAGCGAACACCAAATTTTACCGCTAATTTACGGCAGATATGTTTCAGAAGATCATACTATAAATCTGCAAAAACCCAACACTGGATGAAATAAAATTTTAAAGAAAAAAAAGATTGTAGGAAGGAGATGATTGTGCCAAGATGGAAAGGCCATAGAAAGAAAAGAAGGAAGGCCATGCTTTTGAAGGCTATGTAGGAACCCCGATAACAACAAACCTTCACTCATCTCCACACATTTACTGTCACCAAACAAGCAGTCATCACATAATAGTCTATCTCAGATCGAATGTTCAAAGACATCCTTCAATTCAGGCCACATTTTCAAGTAGAGCGTATAAAGAAAACACTTGGATTTGTTGTGCCGTGGCCTCTTTAAGGTAAGAGTAATCCTTTTTCTGCTTATGACTTGAAGACATTAATCTACAGACAGACACAGAACAGTAAAAAAAAGGAGAAAAAAAAGCCCAGCTGAGGATTGGCAATCACATGTCCATACTCACAATCACTCTGCTCCAAATCAGACATAACATCCTTAAAAGGTCTGCTAATTCACACATTTCATGAGACAAATCACATGCACACTGACACAGAAACCAGCTGCTTTGAACAGAAGTAACCAACTCCTAGTTGGGGCTCTGTTAATCTTGGAAAGGCTCGAGGGAGGGATGAAGTCCAAATGTCAGCCGTGGGCCCGCTTACGAGGCTGCTTTTGCCGTCGAGCTTTCAAGATCATGTACCTCCTGTAGGTGGTGTGGTGGTCCGATATGAACGGGATGTAAAAGGCTCTGAAGATAGGAGAAGATCTGAGAAAAAAATATGTGAATTAAATATGTATCCATCGCTCATCCTTTAGTAAACATTGAAAAAAAAATTACTTTAAGCACCTCATAAATATAGAACTGATTTAATATGAAACCTCTTGAGCATCAAAAATTTTAAAAGTCCTTTTATTTTATCAAACTACCGTATTTTCACGACTATAAGGCGCACTTAAACGTCTTTTTTTCCCCTCAAAATGTGCGGTGCGCCCTATGGTGCGGTGCGCCTTATGTGTGTTGTAACTGCGACTTTTGAGACCACCTCATTGAGGAGATGATGAAAGAGTGGCTGAATGTAAGGAGACCAGGTGTTTTTTTTCCACCCCTCACCATCGCTGTTAATATGTAACTCCATGCGTGCCCATCTCACAGCTGATGTGAAAAACATGGGGAAACAAATTAACGCTGCTCGACATCGATGTGAACCGGACCCAGCAGGTGCAGCAGAAGCAGCGAGTTTACATGCAAAGTCAATGGTTGACGAGCGTATAGACGCAGCAAAAGGTCCCGCAGCGCATTTTGGTGCAGCACGTCGGGAGCGTTTAAGCATCTGAAGCGCCGCGCTTCTGCTGCTCGAGATGGAAAAATTGAAGTTTTGCTGCTGGACGCGCCGCATCAACCAATCAGAGAAGCTGATCTGGGAGCTGCCAGCGAGACAGACAGCGCTCTGATGACATATGATATTAACGCAAATGGAAAAGGCTGGATGGATGCGTGGCTGAGGCAGGTGTATGTGAGAAGACTAGGTGGTTTTTTCCACGCATCACCATCGCTGCGTGCCCATCTCACAGCCGATGTGAAAAAAAGGTGAATCAAATGAACGCTGTGCTCGCCGTTATCCCGGGGGTCTGACAAAGGAGCTTCAACCGCTCGACATCGGTGTGAAGCAGCCGTTCGAAGTAAGGCTGCGAGCGGCGTGGGAGCGATGGATGACAGACGGAGACCACAGTTTCAGGATAAGAAGGCAGCGCCGGGCAGATTACGCCACAGTTTGCGGATGGATTGTAGATGCTTGGACTAACGTGTCTGCTGGCTCTGTTGTTCAAGCTTTCGCAAAAGCCGGCATTATTTCTGAGGAGCCGCGCTGCACGGAAAGTGACTGACAGCGAAGAAGGGGAAACTGGCATGTCTGATTTAGCGCAGCTGTTTTATTCAGAAACAGAGGATGATGACTTTGATGGGTTTGATTAATACTTTGTAATAAATACATGAATAAAGCACAATCATACTCAGTTTTGCTCCCGCTGTATTTTTCTCCCTGAAAACTTAATTCAACAGCATCCCCGGCGCGTCTCCTCCTCTTCATCGCGGTGGCTGGCAGGTGTTTTTTCATCTAAATAATCTAAATCTTGCAGCTATATTTGCTGTGATCAGTGGGAATAAAGTAGTTTTAATATGTTTTTAAGTGAGAAAGTCCACCTGAAAACTTAATAATTGCAGTCAGTTCATCCAGATTATCTATTTCTGTCGGAGGCGCTCAGACCCCCACATACCAGCGGTGCGCTGACAGCAGAAATCTCTTCATCAGCAGCCTGTAGGCTGGGCAGCCTGGGGTTCACCGCGGCTGCTGGCAGGTGTTTTTCATCTAAATAATTTTAGCTGCAGGCACCAGGATACCGGCAATAAAAGCGAACATATTCCGTCAGCAGGTTTCAGGATTTTAAGTTAATTTAGGAGTGATCACAGCGCTGTGTCATCTGCGATGTGTCTGTCTCACGGCCAGCTGCCAGGTTTGATTAATACTTTGTAATAAATACATGAATAAAGCACAGTCATACTCAGTTTTGCCCCCGCTGTATTTTTAAATACGCAGTAGAGGTATTTAAAGGTAGTAGAGGACTTGTACCTGTATATAAAAAACGCGCCCTATAGTCCGGTGCGCCTTATGTGTGTGTTAAATACAGAAATGGGACACATAACTGAGAGTGCGCCTTTTAGTCCGGTGCGCCTTATGGTCGTGAAAATACGGTACCTTGAAGCTTGAAGGAAAGGCTTATAAGCAATGACCGTCCACTCTTCTTTAATTGCTGAGTAACGAGGCTCCAGTGGCGCTTCCTCGTCCGTCTCCAAGTCCACCAGGTAGTGGCACGTCTTTATGTCTACCTGCACAGAAGGGAAATTTCACAGATCAGTTCAAATGACTGCCAGACCATAGCAAACACTTTCAAACTGAGGGGCTTACATATCTGGATGGCTCCTCCAGGTTCTGGTCGTTCATATTGGCTGGAATGATCTGTGTCGCCAGAGGTCCAGAGGCGTAAGGCTGAGGAAGCTGCCCCTTAAACTCAGACTGAATGAAGTTCAGCTGCCAGCTGCAGAAAAATAAGTGTTTAGTAGAAAAAAAAAAAAAGAACACAAGATCTTAAAAAATTTATTTTTACAGAATATAGAAGCGATTTGATGCACATTTCCATTTACAACTATTCTGGAAAGTGAACCATTTCAAAAAATATGAATTGACAATAAAACTACACTATAAATGGGTTAAACAAGATTACTGATCCAAAGGATGCCCAACAACCAGAGCCATGAATTAACCAACTATACAAAAAGCTTATGCCGAGTTAGTCGCGCTATGGGGTGCAGGTCTCTGGACGGCAGGAGAGCCTCACCTATCACTAAAGGCGTCTATACTTAAACCTGATCATACAGTCAGATTGGTTCAAAGTTTTCTATCAACTAAAAACCAGCTGATTGCATCGACTCATTGACTCAAAAGCAATCCCTCACACAAAGGAAGCTTGTAGCGACAGTGAAGAGGAAATCTCTGTTTTAACAGGAAGAAACCTCAAGAAGACCAGGCTCAGTGTGAGCGGCCATCTGCCGAGGCCGACTGGGGTTCGAAAACATTTTTCTTTAATTTGTTTCTTGCAGAGGTTTAAACTCAGAATTAAACTATGAAATTGAAATCCCCTTTGCAACTCTCCAAAGAAGAACACTGTAAAACTTCAGACTAAGTTAATGTGTATAACCTTACTTTATACCTTATGTGCTTCTGTTTACACAAATATTTTTTTAAAAGGTGTAGTTATAAAAGAATGCTGGCATGCCAGCAACTGCCCTTGATGGTTTAGTATTTAGTTGGTGTCTTTCTGTATTCTCTCAGTCATTAGAAAAGGATCTTGAAGAAAGAATCTAAAAAATAAGTAGATAATAAAAAAAATCTGGCTACTACTGAATACTAACTTGTGAGGCAGAAGGAAGCTACTGGGGAAGCGGTACCACTCTTTGCCAACACACACACTGACTGGTATGCCATTGGGGACGGAGTGCAACGTTGGATCCTTGGCAATGCGGTGAAATTCTGGATACAGGTCCAGAGGAGCGTGGTAGCCTAAGAACATGAAGTAAAACAAAAATCAAACCTAACGTTAAAATGTCAATCTTACTACCAGCACTGCTGCTTAGGGAGGGGCAAAGCCTGTTGGTGCACAAACCTCTAAAAAGGGCAACAGAGCGGGACAGTGACAGCACTGCGAAGGCAACAACAGTGCTCAAAGCCAGCCAGTTGGAGGAAACGGTGTAGTGCTCCAGTCGGTATCGCTGGAAAAGGAAGTGGTAGCATTTCTATTGGGGGGAAAAAAACAACAATGTGATTTATCTCCCTAATCATTGTTGACAAAACAAAATGGAACTGAGTCATAGACCTGGGAAAACGACAAGTTATACCTGCAGAGAAGAGAGTGCTACTGCCCCACTGAGGCAGATGAGGGGAT